AATGTGCATCAAGTATCAAGGAAATATCTATTGATTATTTTCCATTAGTATATTTTCCAAGTATTCTCTTGAGGCATGATTTAAATATATTACATTTATTAAACATTATACTTATACATTTAACTCCATATTTCATGCTTATACCATTTTAATTTGTTTTTAAATTGTATGTTATCTCCTTCCACTGTGGTAGTAGCTTGATGAAACTAAGTGAAATTGAGTTTGGTCATTATAAATTTATCCACTATTTTTTTTACTCATATTTTATTTATTTTCCTTAAACATTTCTTTTATAAGCAACTAGTTTTGGAAGGTCATACCCTGGCCTTGTCATAATATTCAATTTTGCACCATGCAATAAAGAGTTTGATGTGGCCTCAATGGAAGTAAAATATGAAGGTTATATTCAGTATGTAATTTATGTATTTGACCATAGGAAGCAGTTTTTCATCTAAAATCACCTAAGAATTAATCACAGTATATTTATAACACTGGCTCTGTCATTGTGGTAAGCATGCACACTGCAGCTGTGGCAGATCATGTGGTTAGGATCAATGGAGGCATGTGAGTTATAGATGACAGCTAAAAGGTCATATGGGAATTAGTGTTGTCAAGGAAACAGCTCAATGAGTAGGAGGGTAAGCAGGCTTGGAGGTATGTGAATAAAGAGGTTTAAAGCAGATGAACACACTTAGTGAAGAATAATAGCACCCCACAAAAACAATAAACTGGTCCTGTCGAGCAGACAATGGGTCATTACACATGGACACTAAGTGCAAAGAGATCAACTACAAAGTGTATCAGAATTATTTCTTTAAAAAATAAACAGCAGTCCACCAATTTGGTCCAGACTGAAATACCTCTGTAGGCTACTAACTTTTGATCTGACAACATCATGTCCAGTAGTTTGTTTGATAGTCATCAGCCTCAAATGCATTTTGTGTTTAGTTCTAACAGCAAATGTTAGCATGCTAACATGCTAATCTACTGTACGTGAATGTGGTAAACATTGCATGTTTAACATCAACATCTTTACATTGTAATTTGCATTTAGCTCAAAGCACATTGTGCCTAAATATGTTGTAATTTGCATTTAGCTCAAAGCACAATGTGCCTAAATATGACCTGCTGCTAGCATGGCTGTAAACAGCTTGTTAAACTACAAGCAAAATGACAGTAAAACACTGACAAGTGACACCACCACCTGAAAGCTTTTTACCGAGACACGCATGCAGACTGACAGACTGACTTAACACACTACAGACAATGGTGATCGACACACAGAACAAACACCCTGCTACTATTCAAAGAGACAACCATTTTTTTAAATTCCAAAACTAGTTAGAGACAAAAAGAGAAAAAGTAATCATACCAAAAATTAAAGTTAAATTAAATTAAGCAAGAACACAGTGCATTTTTTAAATTTTGGATGGCTATCTCTTTATAACAGTAACGGTTATAATGTCCCATATTATACATAGATTACATACTAAAAATCTGCATACATAAACACGCAGACAGGTGGAACCACCAGAAAAGAATAAGACAAAGACAGAAAAGAGGCAGGGACTGCTGTCACTACAAGCCCATCCCGGTCCAAACAACAACACCTCACGCCTACAAACCTAAGTAGCTATTATGAGCTACATCCTCAAATGGTGTGGAAGGCTCCAGGGTTTTGTACAGCAGTACATCTTCAACAGGGCTGGCCATGAACAAGAGCCCTATGGCCCAAGACAGGAAAAGAAAGACAGAAAGAGGAGATGGAGAGGTGTGGGAGGGGAGTGTGGGGGTTGTGAGATGGTGAGGAGAACAAAAGGGTGAAAAGAAAGAAAAAAGGGAAAAGGGAGGTGCAGGTGAGACAAGCTGTGATTGACTGGTGTTTTGTTTTTGTGGTACCAGTGCAGTTTTTTCCCAGCAAAACCTTTTGGTACCTGGAAGAGAGACCACATTTAAGGCTCAGACTTTACCCTGACGTTATACGCCACCCACCTAAAGATTTGACATATTTTCCTGTGCTTTATTTCTAGATGAGCCGGGGATAACGACATTATTGTTGGGTTGATTTTTGATAAATATTTTCCATCTTTGCCCCACAAAGGGAGCAAATATTGGCATCATAAAACTGTATGCTAAGCCAGAAAAAGCTCTGGACATTTTTGACATTTCCACCCACATTCACATGGGAAAGTTTTTAAAAATGAGGTGGGGTCATACTTTATTCAGGTCTCTATGAGTCACACACATATAGGCTCAGCCAGAAATAATAAGCACACAATAAGAGAGACACCCAAACAAGTTTTCTCTCAACCAGTTAGAGGCAGTTTGGCAGTTGCTACAGCTCCTAGCTCCTGCGGTTTTGCCACCTATGTTGGGGTACAGTCTGAGCCCTGGTGTCGCCCCTCCTCTGGCCCTCTCTTTCTCTCCTGTGCACAGGCAGCAGTGAGCAGGGAGGGCAAATCCTACCCAGGTAACTGTGGTAGGGCACAGGGATGAGCCTGGCATTAAGTTGTTTCTGATCTGCCACCTCGTAGGGTCCATCATCATATAAACCGATGTCAAGTAGAGTCTGGTTTAGGAGTTGGACACGCATCTCACCTGGAATGAAAATAAATGAGGGCACAGCAAAGCCGCAGCAGATGCAAGAGTACAGATACTCATTGTCTCATACATGTATGTACATGGATAATTTACAGAGTTTTTATCCTAATTGTATTTCCTGCAGAGTACATATACAATATTGTGGACAATGTGGAAATAAGTCTGATCACAGGGCAGATATTTTATAACCTGTAAAAAACAGTCAACCATCTCCTAAATAAAATGCAGAAAGCTATTTCATTATAATGCAATATGAAGTATATAAACATTTAAAACAATTGCACAGTAAAGCATAGCATTGATGTTGTGTCAAATATAAATCAATCCAGTAACTGATTACTGCACCAGAGAAATCTCTGTCTTTTGTGCATTAACTGCATGACATTGGTCTGCATAATTTCAATGTCCAATCACTAGATTGGCTTATAAATCAATTTTATCACATGAATATTGTCTTATTTGTACCACTGTTTTAATTAGACCTTTTACATGGCCTGGTTTTCTTCTCAAGCTCACACTGAAATTTAGTCACATTGGTTCAACATTTTGGGAAATACACGTATTCGCTTTCTTGCCAGTAACTGCAACAGTAATTTTTCTGGTGTTCTTGCTGATTGCCTGATAATGTTAAATAGAATTTTAACACTTTGGTTTTATGTACGGCTTAAACAAACAACAATATTTCGTGTTAATAAGTGACCCTCCAGTTATCTGTGATCCAGTTTTTTGCAGATCAGTCAGACACCTTACCTTTCCAGTTGTATGTTCCTGGAGCCCCAAACAGAATGAAGTTGTTGTCTGGGGTGAAACTGACAGACAGGCCCTGCTGACAGAAACCAAAGTGCTCATGTCCCTGTGTGCGGCCCTCGCAGAACTTCCATTCCCCTCCGTCCAGTTCATCTCTCACTGTCAGGTCCTCACTCAAGACATAGCAGCGTCCAATGGGGTCACGAGTCTCTGAAGACTGATTTACACGGTGTCTCAGCTCATACAGATGAGCACAGGTCTGGTGAGGGATAAGAAATGGTAGCATATTTATTTTCACTATTGACTGTGCTTATGAGAGGACTAAGAAAATGTTATAATTTAACACACCAAAACTGAAAATATGCCTTCTGTGTTCACAGGCGACAAGTTTCATTCATAAACACCATGTAACTTCATCTACTCCAATGAATTTACATGATCTGCACTGTGCTTACCACCACTTTTCCTCCAATTCCCTGACTCTTTACAGTAACTCCCAGCCACTGGTTGTCTTTACTCTCTTTGTCCAGACTCACTGCAAAAAAAGATTGACAAAATTATGAAGTTTAAATAACATTTGGAACAAGCAAAAATGAATGGCACCATTAGATTAAAGCTTTTGAGTATAAAGGTATAATGGCATTAACATTCATATACAATCTTTGGCCATTTACTGCATTTAGAAAGGTTTTGATACTACAAAATAAGTGGTACTTAGAAACTTCAGTATTTACTAACATCAAGAGGCTGAAACCAAAGAATATGTGTCGTTTTTGGCAAAAAAAAAAATCAAAATTATTTCTGATAATTTTTTTAATCACTTGACTAATCAATTAATCATTTCAGCTGTATAAACTCACCTCCTCGATCAATATCCACCCTCTCACAGTCATACTCCTCTGGTGTGATTGGACACCTGAACAGGGCTCCAGGTCGACTGCGTCGCAATGGGCCCTGCCCTGCAGCCTGTGGCGCCCCCACGAGAATCCTAAGGAACATTGAACATCTGTTAGTTCTAGCTGCTGTAAGGACTTACCTTCAGGGCTACCTGAATATGCCAAACTGGAAAAAAAACAGGGTTAAGAGCATTCAAGACTGCAGTTTCTAAACAAATTCCTCTTTTATCTGGACTATGGTGGCCAGGAAGCCAGAAGTGTTTAGAAACACTTGTACACCTCATCACCAGTGGATGTTTCACTCTTGGGTGTTTTGTGTGTGACTTCCAACTACTGTAGTTTCACATGTGAAAGCCTTAACTGACCTAAGTTTCCCTTATTGTAAAGTACAAATACCTGCAGCTCAAGCAAAACTATTCAGATCCTGCTGAGACCACCTACAGCTGAGCATGCTGCCATGCTATCGTGACTTGAATTTGATTCAAAACATTTCTGTAACATCTGTGTGTGCTGTATCTTTACTATCAATGGAAGAAATATTTTATTCTCAGTGAGGCTGTTGCTGATATTTTGGGGCCAGTATCACTGCCCTCTGCCTTATTAGGAGCGACTGATTCAGCCTAGGATGCTATTTAAAAACTGAATGTTGAGCTACATTTCACCCGGCACCAAGAGACACAACATACATGGTGGCAAAACAAAGATTAGAGACTAAGGAGCATAATGTAGCAGTTACAGTGTGATACTGCTTAGATTCACTCTTAACAGTGCTGGCAAAGCAATGGCTTTGCCCAGCTGTGACACTATCAACCAGCTGTAATGCCTGTGCGAAAACATCCCAACACTAGCTTCCCTCATACCTACCTTGTTATGTACACACTTAAATTAGAACTATCTCTGTGGCTGGGAATATTTTGCTAAATATACTGTAGCAAGCTGATAGTACTGCATGGACCATATGGAGACAAACAGATAACATCATAACAAGAGTGTTTGGTGTACAGTAACATCTTGTTACTCTTGTGTTGGATAATTCAGATTGTTACGTATACAACACAGTACATTGTACACATGCAGCCAATTTAAGTACTTATAAACTATATGGTCAGTATAAAAGTAAAGCATTATGTTATATTTTTAATCTGGAAGGTAGTTGTCAAATAAAGGTAGTTCAGCAAAAAGTACAATATCACTGCTGTAAAATAGCATCAAATAAAAATGCTAAAGTATCTCAATATTATTGCATATTGAGTAATTGTACTTAGTTTTCCATTGTGCCACTGATTAAGTCACACAAACTAAAGTACCACTGATACCACCCAGACTGCCAGACAGCTCTGCTTTCTGTCGTCTCATTCCTGACACCTCTGTCAAGGTGCAGCCCTGTATATCTCAGGAATGACTCTCCTCACTTAATGAGTGAAAAACCCCAAACAGCCACCCAGAGCAAAGATCAGCATATAGGCTGCCAAACATCACTGGTGGTCCACATAAACATCTAGACTAAACAGTGTTATGCTAATGCAGACATGTTAAACAAAAAGGATTTGGTTAAGAGGAAGATGATCGCACTGAAAAAAAAAACCCTGGTAAGATCTGATCTCTCTTATAGCTTAGCATTCCAGGGGGCCTTGCTTTATTTAGGAGTTAAGGTGATACCATATTTTCTCTGCACATGTGCAGATGCATAGGTAAGTGTCAGGTTATAAGGGTGGGAGCTCAATTAAGCTGTTATACCACCCGTATTTGCAGAAGAGAATTGGAAGGCTCCCAACATGTTATGAAGCAAATCATTGTATTCAGTCAAGTTTACGGTTCTGACAGGTTGATTCTTCAGTGAGAAAACACTTTACCACAATTGAAAAATGAATAAAGTGGTTGATACATTTTTCTGTGTGGACACTTAAGTTATGGTGGATTTCAAATTATTTTAATACAAAATTGTTATGAATAAATGGGGCCAGGTAAAAGGCAAAGTCTAAGGACAGACAGTATGAGGGGGGTTTAAGCTGTTCTGTTCATGAATGTGTTTCTGTGTAAATACTTTAAAATGATTGCTAGTTGGCTACTAGTATACATACTGTGCTGCTTCTATCATTTCAGTCTAACAAAATAGTTAGAATAAGTGTTTAAAATGCTCACAGCCTGGCTTGAAGTTGGACCATTGTGGAGGTACAGACTGACACATGCCCTAAATGTGACACTGATAAAATGCCATGGCTGAGTAATGCTATCATTTATTCACCTTCTACCCACTTCTTAGCTCACTTAGTTGTTCAGGAATGAGACAGATAGGATCATGATCTCCATTGCCAAGCTCATCTTTCAATAAACCAGTTTAACATTGTGTGTGAAATGTGAGCGGTTGAGGGCATGTTGTTGCTTCTGCACACTGAGCCTGGAGGAGATGTCAGGATGTTGAGTGTGATGGTGATAGCATTTAATGGAATATCTACATAAACCTATTGTCACAGAGCCAAAACCAGCATGACTGAAGTCCACCTGTGATTTACATGACCTGTTAGTACATGCCTAATAGATAATGCACATGGAGCCTGCTCACATCAGGGACCCTCCAAACCTGACAAACTGATTAAACAAAGACTATGAGTTTTCTTAGCACTTTCTTTTTTCCATATTTTTGTCTTGTATTGACTCGGAGATATGCACAACAAATTCCTATATACAGTACATGTACTGCCTGAACTTGTGCAAATGGAAAACGTCACCTTTACTGCCATAATACTGTAAGTCTCTTGATCTTGATACATGGTCTGGACCAAAGTAGTGAAGTGGCTCAAAGACAAGCCTACAGACACTGGTATCCAGAGATCCATGGTACTATAAGCATTGCTAAAAATCTAGAATACAGTCAAACAAAGAATGTAGGCATGAAAAACATGCAGTGATGACAACTATGGAAATCTTATGCTAACCCAATACAGTCTGTGTTGAATTAATACCAAACTAAGTGGAACAGCTTATTAGTCCAAGAGGGATCATGAAAATGAGGCAGTACATTATATGATTATTGTTACAAAGGCTAAAGTCAGAGTCTCTGTTTATTAGTAGCTCTCTGTGTGATGCTGCTACTTTGGCATTTTCAATCTCAGTAAAGCCCTTGATACATGGAGTTATTTTTATGATTCTTATTTTATTTTAATTTTTATTATGTTATTATAACTTGATGTTGAAAAACTAAACACTGATATTGAACTCAACAAAGCATAAGAAAGCTTTAGAGAAGAAGGTTCTTTGTATTATTCATGTGTATGGTTTTGTAATTTTTTTCAGCTGCTGTCACCAAAACAAAAAAACTGTGTTACAGCCACCAAGCCCCTCAAAGTCAAATGTTTTTTGGATAAGGATTTATAACCCTGCCCTCCGCTATCATAGAAACTTTGTTTTTCAACCTAACAAGACAAAGACACACAAAAAACCTTCATTACACTCCACTCGTTTATTCATTGGGGGGAGCTTGTGCAGTGACCCCAACACTCTCTCGCGATCCTATCCACCCCTACCCCCCAGGGCCCTACACACAGACACACACACACACAGAGTCTCATCATCCTTCGCTCTTCTCCCCCCTCTCAGTAGTCACGCCATTGCACAGAGCCTCGATAATAGTAACAGCTAGAAGAGGAAATGCATCACATATGTAACCACATCTTGTTCTTCTCTAAATATAGCTTTTTAGCTCACTGAACTACTGACAAAAAAACATATGAACACTTGAAGTTGTAGCTTGCCATTATTTTTATGTGCTGCACAATGAGTTGGAGACAATTCTCCAACTCTTGTAATACAAGATCTGTTTCATGCACAGACCAGTGCACTGATATTAGGCTTTAAAACAAGGCTGCTAATGCTTTGTTACCGATATGTTTTCAATGAGCAATACAATAACAGCATGTCAACACACACATACGACACCTGCATGTCAATACACTGATGCATTCAGTGAAGACACAATGTGGTTTGTAATCCCAAAATAATGCAATTTCCTGTTTGGATTGTGTAAAGAGAAAAAATTATTGGCATTTGAACTACAAACAGGAGAAAATTTGAAAGCATATAATGTGAGAGAAAGAAACAATACTGGTTCCAGTGATAACAAGATGGCCCCACAAGCTTACCTTTACCTTAGTAAAGGACTTCAGTGTGACCACACATCGTTCAAGCAGTATGCTTAAGGGGACAGAAGCTTTTTTTTTTACATCTTGGTTTAGCATGAATATCTCTTAAAAAGCAAATGAAGAGCAGATGCAAACTTTTTCAAAACCTAACCCCTCCTTGGAATTTTTCAGGCGTGGGTATTTGAAGGACAATAAAATCTGTGAAATGTTGAATCAGACACAGTATAACATTTCCGACATTTATTTTTATGACCATTTCAGTTCATCCCTTACACACCGTCTGCTCACTCCCTGCAACATCTGTCCATTGTAGAGCAGTGTGATGCTGTTGATCTATAGACAGTGGCTGTACAGTATCAACACAGGGAGCCAGGGGCTCTTGAGAGCTTTAGCTTTTATACTAAGGCAAGACTGTGACCTCTGACCTGGGCACACAAACACACACACACACACACTTAGGCACAGACATGCATACAAAGGAAAGCACATGCAAGCATGGGGAGATTAATAGAGCCATGAGCGTAAAAATTGCTTATATACTGTATTTTTTTTCACACACACATGCATGTGTATAGATACACACTAAGGCTGCACAACAACTGTGTAAATTATGGATCAGCCCACTGAGGTCAGCCTGTTCAACCATGCCTCAAAAACTGAGCTAGACTAAGATCTGGTTCAAAAAGTGTTGCCTTCATACCTGACCCAAGTTTCTTTTTTAGTTTTGCTGATGGGAAAACAACAGCTGAGAATGAGGTGACCAAACTGTGAGTCATCACGGTTTAACACCTCAACTTTATGAAGAGAAAAGAACAGAAGAGAAAAGGGATGGTTCAAGCACAAAAAGAGAGACAGAGACAGCTGCCTGTCCATGAAAAAAACCCTCTGGGAGATTGTGGTCTACAGATCTGATTCAACTTTCAGCTTCTACAATTTGTTCAAGGACAGCACAA